ATTATTATAAGTATTTTTACTATCTTAATTGAGTTTATTATGTTGAAATGAATTATTGTCTCTCATAGAATAAAAAAAAAGAAAGAGCTAAGTGAGTACTGGACTAATAGGACCAGTCTCTCAATCCTATAGATCATGTCCAGTCTTATTAATATTCAGGTTATCACTAGACAAGATCGGACTACGGGTTGCCTAATCCAGTCATTTTCATGAAAGAGACCGGACTTCGAATTAGGGTGAAGTTCAATGCTGTCCTGTCTTTTGTGCAGTCCTAACTGAATATATTCCCTCCCGTCCTCTATATTAATCACATCGTAGAACAAATTAATGATCTTACATATTACTCATTCCTTATAAAAAAACAAAAGGTGGAGCATTAATTAATTTTTTTTCCCAAAAATGAACCTTGCTCGCAACTTTGTAGGACTTATTTTTTAAAAAAAAATTCATACTTTTAAACAGGGGTAAATTTGAAACGTTACATTCTTTTTAGATAATTTTTTCTTGGTTTTGATAAGTTAGTTAGAAGTTACTTTTATATATTTGGGACTGACCAAGGTAAGTACCATGTTGCCTTCTATTTTATATATAAATCACTTTTAACTATTTTATTGAAAACATAAAAATGTTAGTCCCCTTATTAAATTGATATTAAAATTGAATAAGTTATTATCTTTGCCCCTAATTTGTTGTTTTTTGGAGCTTTTGCAAATATAACTCATTTTTTAAGATTAAACCAAGCAAACGACTCAGCATTTATTATATTTTATATTATATCTGGTATATTATATTTATCAATGATATACTATTTAATGATAAATTTTTTGTAAATTTTCAATTATAAACCTCTTTTAATTTTTTATATATCAATATGAACCTGTTATATGTCCAAATTTTCAAAAATTTAATTCATATTTTTTGGATATAAGATTGTTTTTGGACCAATGAGCCAATTTATCCATTTTTTGGCCAACTTATCTTCACCCCTAATTAATACTATCAATTTAAAAATTAAAAAACTCTATCTATCATTTTTAAAGGAAAAATATTATATACTTCAAAAACTCATACAAAAAAAAATCCCTTTGTCTTAATTTATAAAGATTTTTTTTGATAAAATTACACATACAAATGACATTCATTAAATAGAGTTTATAATTTTAGTTTTTCTATAAACTTTTAAAAATATTATTTATTATAAGAGAGATGAGGAATGAAATGTATTTAAGGAGTGAAATAATAAAGGATCATAAGTGAATAATAATTGTTAATAAAATTTATTTTTAAAATGTTTTACATTTTAAAACGTCAAATCACTTCAAAAAATACTCCTTCCATCCCTATATATAGAGGTCTTTTAAACTATTTTTTATCTCTAAATATAAGATGTTATTAGTATATTTTTAATGAATTGACTCTTACACCCTTATTAAATTAAAATAAAAGGTCAGTGCTCTTTTTAATTTACTATGAAAAAAAGATTCATTTTGTATTTATAATAATTAAGGGCAAAATTAAAATGTTACTGTACTTTTATTTAAATAACTAGCTTTTATTGGTTTATGTGATTTGATTAAAAATATCTTATATACAGGGACAAAGGAAGTGCTCCCTTTGTCTCAAATTATAATACACTTTTAAACAAAAACTCACATACTAATAAATTTTATTAAATATACTTAATCTTATCTTTTCAAAATAAAAATATAAACTTTTAAAATACTCATTATTTAATATAAATAGAATGGATGAAAATTAATTATAGAGAGGGGAAGAATAATATTAAAATTGATGTATTTAATAAAATCTTAATGTATCCAAAGTGTTTTATATTTTGAAATAAAAATTTTTTTAAAAATATTTTATAATTTAAGATAAAAAATATTTTATAAAGTGGGATTGAGGGGACAACTTTTTTCTAAAAAGTTCCCTGTATCTAAGACCAGAGGAACCATTATTATTTTCAGAAGTTACATTAAATTTTAACTAAGACAAAACAAGTCGGGCCAAAGCCGAATTATGTGTATTAACTAAGCTTCAAAAGATTAACCTAACTCCCATGTACTGTCAACCTCTTGTACGCTGCAAAAATTACGAATCCCAGGTTGATCTATCAAATTAGAGCCATGATTTTGTCATTTTTTTAACGAGACTGATTAATTTGGTCATAGTTGTTTCTGAACAAAAAAGAAAATCAAACAAATAATTTTATAAATAAATATATTTGTGGGGTTAATTTATTTTCATTCCTTTCAAGGTCAACCTAGCTACTCTTATATCGCGCTCTAAATCTATCATTTTATCTATCTGTTCCTAGTGTAGCCTTGTAGACCTGTGTTGAGTTATGACTTATGATACATCACCCAACTTGTACAAAACAAAATACAGGTACAAGTACAAGAACAATATATTAAAAGACCTCATAATGAAGAGAGAAGGCCAAACTTTACAAACTCTCTCTCTCTCTACTTCTGTTCCATCCTTCATTTACTTTTGTGGCATCTCACTCTCTTCCCCCCCTCCATCTCAAGTCTCAACAACCAAGAAGATCAGATCCTTATGAAGTCTCATCTTTTCACTATCATCATCATCACCAAACAAACACATAGATAAGTCAATCCCCATCAATCAATCAAATCAAATCAAGAATCATCCTCCTCATCATCATCAGAGAGAAAGTGATCTCAAATCAATTCTGAAACCAAATCTGAACCAAAAGAAACATGTCTGCCTCATCATCATCCATCACTTCTTCCTTTTCACCGGACCACCATCTCTCCCTCCGACCAGCTCTGCTATGTCCATTGCCATTTCTGTGACACCGTTCTGGCGGTATATTTCTATCGCTCTCTCTACACAGACATATTTCTTTCTCCCTTATTCTAAGCCCTAAGCCTAAATTTCTAATCTTCTTCATTTTCTTCTGTATCCATGTATGTGTGTGTGTGTGTAGGTCAGTGTTCCTTGCACCAGCTTGTTCAAGACTGTCACTGTGAGATGCGGCCATTGCACCAACCTTCTGTCTGTGAATATGCGTGGCCTTCTTCTTCCTTCTGCCAATCAGCTTCACCTCGGGCACACTTTCTTTCCTCCTCAGAATCTACTGTATTACACTCTCTCACACACAGACACACAGAGAAAACTAGGGTTTCTGTTAATTTCTTTATCTTCTTCCTTGCCATACCCAGAGCTCTGTGTGTGTGTGTGTATGTGTGTAATGGATGAGTGAAGAATTTGGTCCTCCGAAGAAATTCTCACTCATCTAGTCACTACAGATACTTTAGTATTTGAAAGTTTGAATTTGTTTCAAGATGGAAGAATGAAACAGTAACAAAATCGTTGTGGTACTATAAATTAAAAGAGAGACAAAACCTGTGACAGATCCAATTTATATAAACCGTAGGGTTATGTAAAATGTATTGTGAGGATAAACCACAAAATGAGGTTTGGCTTTAGCGGAATTATATGAATGTATATGTTTGATGACTAAAGTTACATTTATCGTGTTGAATTTAGGAGGAGATTCGACATGCCACCATCTTCAAATACGCAGATGATGAACCATCAACTTCCATACCCAAATGACTCAGTTATGAGCACCATGCGAGGAGGGAGGACTCGAGGAAATCCCTAAACCTCCACCACCACCAGTTAACAGACGTAAGCTTTTAGATCCTTAATCTTAATACAAAAGACTTGTGTGTGTGATGACCACTAGACGCTTAACTGGTAAGAGTTGTATTAGTTTAATTGGAGAATTTTCGAGTTCGAGCTCTAAAAATACAGCAGCGTAGTGGTAAAGCTTTCACTCGAAAGGGTTCTGTCAGCCCTAGGGCAAGCCTAGGATATGGTGTGTGTGATGAAGTTTGTCATGTTTGTTTCTCTTTGCTTTTTCTTTTCCTTCGTCGTTGAGTTGACCAGAGGTTATTCTGAAGTCATGTGGAGACTAAAAGAACTGAGAAAAGGGATCGAATCCAGCAGATACTTGTAAATCATTCATTTTATATACAACTTTAGCTTTAAGCTAGTGTGAAATATAATCACTTAACCAATGGAGATAAAAAGAAAGAGGGAGAAAGAAAGAAGTTAAAGTAAGAAAAATGTCATATCTCTATCAATCTGAACGTGGCTTGGTATACTGCAATAAGCGGCAAAAAAAGAAGAATCTTTAGCACATTTATCTCATGCCTCTCTCTCTTTCCTTCTGTTTATTTGGTGCTTTCCAGCTTTATTAATTAGTTCTTCAATTTGATTACCAACATCAAATTTCCTAAATTTTCAAATTTGAATTCAGACCATAATTACATGCATTAAAGTAGTACAGCTGATCTTGGAATCATGTTGATAGCAATAGTTATATGCACCTTGGGAAGTACAACAATTTCCTTTTTTTTTTCTGTTTTAGTAATACTGATGAGTTTAATTAAATGTTCTGAAACATGCAAGAACACACTTTGTGAGAAAACTGAAAAGAGAGAAAGAGACGGTGGCCATTATATATCCCCCGAAAATATAGTGCAGAATCCATGAGGTGTGATTGTTACAGATAAATTAGTTAATGATGAGGCCATGATGGAAGAAGGAGGAGGGAGATGGATGGGGGGGGGGAGAGGGAGAGAGAGATCATTATGAATTAGACAAAGGTCAGCGAAGTGAATTAATGTTGTTGTCTGTTTGCCTGAACAATGTCCTTGTTGTGCATGCATGTCCAGCACCAGAAAGAGACAGAGAGTTCCTCTGCTTACAACCGCTTCATTAAGTAAGTTTATTATCAATTTTAATTAATATTAAATCTTAATTTAGTGACCTTCTTAATTAGTTTATCTTGACTCATTAATAAAGTTGCAATGAACTAAATCAATGAAGAGATTGTTTAGGAAATTATAGAGTGTATATATATATATATTATGTCACCTAATTATGAACAAGTTGATAAAATATACAACGTTAATATGATGTAGCGTTCTTATTCTTGCATGTGGCCAGTTAATCTATGATCAGTGCAATCTATTTTGATGGTATGATTATTATTATTTGAATTTCAGGGACGAGATCCACGCATCAAAGCTGGGAATCCTGATATAAGCCACAGAGAGGCCTTTAGTGCAGCTGCAAAGAATGTGAGATCCAAGAAATTCTAAATCTTAACTACATTTGGATTGTTTTCTCTTTATTATTTTAACTGTTTAAAATTTCAATTTTCTTTTGCTATTGGAATTTTCTATTTTCAAAACAATGAATACATCTAAAACAATACCAAAAAATAAAGAAGACAATAAATATTAAAATGGAATATAATATAGATAGTATATGTAAATATTTTCTCGTAACTGTTTCATCGCTCAAAAGGAACATATCATTCTGTTTCTTCGAATACATACTAATATAATTTGATTTTTTATGCTTAAAAGTGGTTCAGTGTTTTGATAAACGAGTCGCTTTTGACTTGTTCTTTCAGTGGGCCCATTTCCCTCACATACACTTCGGACTTATGCCTGATCATCAACCCGTGAAGAAACTAACGTGCGCCAGGTATATTTTATATATTTACAAGCCCTAGCTATTTGCTGCGTTTACTTTTAACTTTCCTTTTTTCCGTGCAAATGTTAACCTAGTAGTAAAATTCAATTCAAATTCAAATTTAAATTTTTAACTAAAATAGTCCTCTTATCTTTATTATAAAACAGCTTCTAAAAAGATTTTTTTATCTTTAGTATAAGGCACTTTTTAGGTATTAATTGTATTTTTTTAATATTATTCATGTTTAAATTTATTAACTTGTTATGAGAGAAATATAATGTAAATTTGAAAATTTTTCATTTAAAAAAGAGAAAATTAAAAGTTTGTTGTATTTTTAAGACAGTTTATAAATTTAACTACCTCTTTTTATTTGATAAGATAATTAAAAGTGTTTTATAATAGAGGTCAGAGGAAGTATATATGACTTGAGTATCATCAAGCATCATTCACTAGTACCTTTATTTTGATTCTAGCAGCACAACAAAAGATAAATTAAACTTGTCTAGATAAATCTCTTTATAATTTAAGAAGTTGATAATATGACACCGAGGCTTCAAAAAAGACTGAATTTCTAACAGTTAGCTTCCAGACTATAAATGTTTTAGAAAATGACTTAAAAATACAATTGTAAGTTCATGAGTTTTAATTACATGTAAGATTTTTTTAAGTTTTACGTATAACTCCCAAATTATAATTATTGGGATTCCTGTTTGTCAATATTATCAATTCAATTTTTTGAAACCTAATTGTCAATTGATTGTACATTAAATAATATCAATATTGTACCATATATAAAGTGAAAGCGAGTTTCTAGGGTTTCTGATCTCCGATTCTGAATGTGATGTGTGCAGGAAGGAGAAGACGTGCTTATGAAAGAAGGGTTTTTGGGTCCCACAAACGTAGTATATCGCCCTTTTAATTAATTAAGCAAGGATCTGTGATAATAATATTGTTAGGGTTTCTGCTTGTTGGTCTGTGAAGATATACAATAATCTTCTGCGTGCTCCTTATAAGTACGTTCGTAATAGCTAGCTCTTCCTCTTGTGTTATGTCGTCGTTAATTGCATGTTGCTTTAATTAGTGTTACATTATAAGTTTATGCGCAAATGAAGAGGATGGATTCTGGTCATGTGAAGCTTAATTAGTGTAGTTTGTTTTGAACATCGATGAAAGTGACGGCTTAGCTTTCTGTAAAACGTAACTGACATTTTCCCAAAATTATGAAAATGACTTCTTATGTTGAAAACTCGAGTTTTTGTTTGTAATGAGTTCCTTGTGGGAAGTTTCACGAGTAAAGAAAAGTTTATAAGTACAAAGAACTTGAGCATTTGATAAGCTAATCTTTTGAGATAAGTTTGTGAAGTAGAGCTGTTAGAGACATCATCTTTAGATAAGGTGGCATTGTCATGAATCCTATATTGAGAAGCCTCACAAGCATTATTATCAAACTTTTGAGTTAATTATCTGAGTTCATCGTCTTTTACGTTTTAACTTACAAAATTATGTTAACTTAAACTATATATAAATTTAGTTAAACTTGCTAAATTTATCATTTTTTTATCAAGTTGAGCAAGTTAGATATATATTGTATAGATCTCAATTCATAAAAACAATAGGATCCAGTTTTAAAAAAAAAACTCAAAAAGGAAAAATGAATATTAATAAAAAAAGAAAATGAGAAATATCAAAAATAAGTTGCCTTAATTTGAAATTTTTGTGTTGAGTATGATAGTATATATAAATCAAATTATGCTTACTCCCTCAATTTAAAAATGTAAAATATTTTTTGAGGAGTTGATTGTTAAAAAATGTAAGGCATTTTTAGTCTTTTGAGGTGTAATCATTACCTTTTTTTTTCAAAAATATCCCTATTAATAATGATTTATATTTATTATAGGGTGTTTAATAAAAATAAATATAAAAGATAGAGTTAATTAAAAAGTAGGAAACTACTTTATTGGAGGTAAAATTTAATTAAAAATGCTTTACATTTTTAAATAGAGGGAGTGTGTTTTTATATACTTTTAATTATTTAATCATATACTTTTAATAGCTATATTAATAAAAGTACACTCATAATACAATTTACATCCCTATCATAAATTTATTTAAACTTATGAGTTTGGCAACCTTGTTCACAAGTGTAGTAGGGTTTTATAAGTTCAAAGATTTTTCCATTTAACATGCTAATTTTTTTGAATGAGTTTTTTTTTAAACTTGTGCAAATGACGATGTTATATGCTTCAACATACAAGTTTTGTTTCTTTGTATATAAAGGAGACATGAGTTTTTTTTAATAAGAGGTTTGATAAAAATCATCAATATTAGGTATAAAATACATAGGAAAAATGATAGAAAAATCCATTTAAATTATATAAATGATAGATTAGTTCCACAAAATGGCATAATTCTTCTAGAGCCCCAATGGATGTTTCTGTTATTAGGAAATTATAAGAAATGACACTTTTGCTCTTTATTCATATTAAAAAATTCACAACTTTTCATTCACAACTTTTATTCAGATATTAATAAATTTTATTTTTAAATTCGCAATAATTTAATAACTTTTCATAAGTCTTAATCTATAGATCCTAATATGCATTAGGTGTCGAAAATTCACAATTTTTTCACTCACAACTTTTGTTCCTATATTAACAACTTTTATTTTCAAATTCTCAATAATTTAATAACTATTCACAAGTCTTGATTTGCAAGTTCTAACATGCATCAGGTGTTGAAATTTTAATTGTTCATTTACAACTTTTATTCCTATATTAACAATTTTTGTTTTTAAATTCATAATAATTCAATAGTTATTCGTAACCCTGCATGTGCAGGTCCTGATATGCATTATATATTGAAAATTCATAACTTTTCATTCATAATTTTTGTTCCTTATATAACAAATTTTATTTTTAAATTTATAACAATTCAATAGTCATTTGCAACTTTAGGAATTATTGTTTTATTTGAGGTAAATTTGGTCATTTCTTTTAATTCTCTAATGACAAAGAATATCTCATGGCACTCTAAGGAAATTATGCCATTTCATTAGACCAATCTATCATTTACATAATTTAAGTAGATTTTTCTATCATTTTTCCAAATACATATTCATAGGTTGGGAATAGAGTAGTTCATTTTAAGATTTTGCAATAGATCAAGCCAACATCTTCTATAAATTATGAAATTTGTACATCACACTATTCCCAAATCAGTCATGAATGATGTGATCTCTATGTAATAATGATATATAATATATGTATATGTGTGTGTATGTATAGTATATATATATATATGAATAATTAGCAATGTAACTCATTTAAAATAGGGTTAATGGTCTAATATGTCCCTCAACTAAATGAAAAGGGTCAATATCACCGTTATAGTCAAAAAATAATTATTTATATCCCTCAACTACTAAGATTTTTAATTTCCATTATCTTGCTATCTATTAAGTCAAATTTCACTATTAATGGGTCTCACATTTAAATTTTTTAATATTTTTAGTTGGTCCCACCATTTTTTTATAAGCTTAAGGGTTTTAAAATGTCTCTCAACTAAGTGAAAGCCAGGGTTGCTTCTAAAATTAAAAAAAAGTCATTTATATCCTTCAATTGTTAAGATTTTTTATTCCATCAACTTTTCGTCTATTTCGTCAAATTTCACTATTAGTAGGGCCCACATTTAATTTTCTATTTTAATGGTTCTCACCATTTTTAATATTTTTAGTAAATTTCCTCAAGCCACACCTTCAAGCTAGTCTTTGTTAAATCTTACAAAAAAATTTAAACTTCATGCCATAGTTTTGCATGGCTCCAAGCTTGATTTTTCTTCCATAATTCCTAACTTTTCCTTTAAATTTGCCATTGCCAAATGGCACCAGAACCCCGCCAACCATTACAAGAATATGCTTTCGATACACCCTTCAGTCTAGCCATTCACGAAAATAACAAGACTGCAATTGGCATGCTAGGTGCTTTGCCGCCACTACTTCACTTGCTTTAATATGAGAACAAGAGAGGGAATGAAAGGGAGAGAGAGGTGATTTTTAAAAATTATAAAAAAATATTAAAAATGATGGAACACGCTAAAAATATTAAAAAAATCAAATGTGGGCCCACTAACGGTGACAATTGACAAAATAGACAGTAGGGTTATGAAATTGACAACCTTAATAGTTGAGAGATATAAATAACCTTTTCTTGACTTTAGGAGTGACCCACCCTTTTTCGATTAGTTGAGAAGTATTTTAGACCCTTAACCTAAAAAATATAATACAAAATATAATGTGGGTCCTCTTATTATATTTTATTATTAAAAATATTTAAGAATTCATGTGGACTTCCACTAATGGATAATTAATGCTAGGGGCACGAGGGAAGCAAAATTCTAATGTTGAGAGATAAAATTGACCCCAAGTTGAGTTTGAAATTATTTGTGAACTTTCATATACAATTTAGGGACAAAAATGATCATTAATATTTTAAAATAACCTACAAAAGGGTATTATATACATTCAAAAATATAGTACTCTCCTTTTTAAAAAATGTAAAGTATTTTTAATCAAATCTCATCCCTTAATAAATTAGTTAATTATTTTTAAACTAATATTATCTTTACATATTTACCCTTATTTAATGGGTATTTAACTTTAAAATAAATATAAAATAATTTATTTATTAGGAGCACTCGTGAAAAAAATACATTGATTGCATGCACACCTTGAAATACTAAAAATACCTTACTTTTTTTAGCAAAGAGAGTATTATATATACATTCTAATAAAATGAGTGTATTACAAATGAAGTTTTCCTTCTTTCTTCTTAGCACAAATATTATTGTACCAAAAAATAACAAAAAATATTGAGCCTTTTTTTTGTCAGATTTTTTTACTTTTCCTTTAAACATAAAAAATTCCTATTTTAATTTATTGTTAAAATGTGAATTGAGACGGATGGATATACATATAACCTAATGTAGAATATGTACATGTCACATTGCATCATATCATATCATGTATTCGATATAGATTTGTATATAGGTTGTATCGCATAATTTTGAGCTTTGCAGATAGCATGCAACTTGCTAGTGTAATTTGACCCACTCATCTTTTTTAATAAAAAGCCACATGAACACTGTGCAGGCAACATGTTATGTCATGTTAGTGTATAAAAATTTCTACATCCTAGTGGTGGAGTATAAAAAATGTGAACATTAAAATTATTGGTAGAAGCCTGATATGTCAACCAATCTGCACATTTGCTTACCTCCTTGTAGATATGATCAAAGGTGGTCGTCCAATCTTTTATAATAAGATATGTGATTTTGTTAAAATCTCCTAAACCAATGTTGTATTTTTTTAAAAAAACTTTCTTATGGTAGCTAACAGGGGCTTTAAGTTTAGAACTTTGAATAATATATAAACATAACTTCTTCTTTTTTTCTAAAATCCCTCCCTTGCATTTTCTAAGGCGTTTTTGGAGCTAATTGGTGTCCCAAAATATAAAATGTTTTGAAAAAAATAAGATTTTCTTAATTATTATTATTTCAACATTACCTCTCATTATTTCATTCCTTGAATAAATTTCCTTCCTACTTCTCCCTCTTATTAATGAAAAGTATTTTTAAAAGTTTATAAAAAATTAAGATTATAAATTAAATGTATTATGAACTTTATTAAAACATGTAATTCAGTAAAAATATTTTATAAATTGAGACAAAGAGAATGTAGTAATTATTTATATTAAAAAAAATGCATACTCTATCCTGTCTCATTTATAAGATAGAAAAAATTTTTTTATTATATTTATGAGTTACATTATTAAATTTTTATCATAAATTATCTCTTTTATTCTTCATTAAAAATTAGAAAGAAAAAATATACTGTTAAAGTATGTAATTTAATATAAAAAATTTAAAACTTGTTAAATTTTAAAATAGAATTAATAATTTTAATTTTTTTAAATTTTATAAAATATAAAAAATAATTTATAAATAAATTATGGAGTATACTACTAGTGTACAAGAAGGGCTGATGGAGACAAGCCAGCGAACATTGGGGAGGATATTTGTCAAAGATGTCAAACAGACAAACTCATCTCATCGTACTGTGAAAGAAGTGTTTGGGTAGCCAATCAGCGAGCTTGTTCAAATGACGAGGAACCTAACA